GATGACTCTCTGGTCCGTCTGCTCATCCAGAATGCTGTCGGTAGGGTAAGACTCGATCTGCTGTCTAATGGCCGAGGCGATGGCAGGGACGAAGGCAAGAGGATTCAAGTCCAAATCATCACACAGGATCTCAGCAAACATCTCTGGAGTCATAAGTTTCTCTGGAGATGCAAAACCAGACGGAGTAACACTTCTGTGCTTAAATGTGTTTAGCACAAATGAGGCTTGTATGTCTTTGCTTTTCTTATGCATTATGTGACATTTCTTACAATGTCTGGAGTTTTCTGAAATGCAACAAATTTTCTATATCTTTTCCACCTCACCGTTCATGTTCCAGGTGAAGGCATCTCTGAGCTTCTGCCCATCAATCTCCATGTCAAGGCGAATAGGCACCAGGACCTCTGCCTGGGAAGCATTTTCGTGGATCACTGCAGGGTCATGGTCATCGAAACTATGTATTGAAGAAAAGCAGAGACCCATAAACACACTCTATCGTTAATTAGCACCATGTGCGCAACATGTGGTGTTAAACTGCACATTCTGAACAACAGCTTACATTTTTCCTTCATGTCCTGCCCCTTTCTGACACAACAAATGCCCGATATTTAACAACCTACATATGTGATTATGTGAGGGATTTAAAATGCTTGTCTTGTAAGTAATGACAACAGAATGAAGTTGTTTTGAACACACTGGAGCAGTGCTTGAAACCAACAGCTGGTTGGCGGCATTCCAGTCTGAACTGTCTCATTAAAGCCAATCACTGACATTTACCAAAGCCTTCAGAAGGAAATGTTGACAATATCGCAAGCTAAATATCCCAGGAGTACGTCCACTTGTTATACTATGATGAAGGGTCAATTGAGGACCTAAAACCACAAATGCATCTGGCTAATTTTTGTTTGTCTTAAAATGGGGACTTTCTGAGCATCAGGTTATCTACTCATGTGGGAGGTCAGGAAGAAGGAAGAGAGAAAAGTGAGCCTATCAAGAGTATTTGCTTTTCATAACATAATCAGAAAAGATTCTGTCAGCGATAAACAACATAACCTGAAAAAAAAAACAACCTCTTAGCAAAAACAAGCCAGTATTTTGAACTATTGCTTCATCTGCTGACCCAAAACAATCCAGTCATGGGAAGTATGTAGCGGAAATGTGGTTTTGTTCCTTAATAAACATCCTCTAGTTTGATATTGCCCTGATAACAATCAACCGTGGCCTAAATGTTTACCCAGAGTTTTACATTTCTTAATTGCATTTATATTGAGTAACATACTGATGATTGCTGACAGGTCTAACTTAAGAAATGTTTAAAGACCCGTCAAATGAGCTTGATGAGCTCATTTT